TATCGTATAAGATTATTTTTCTCGTAAGAATCCATCTTGCACGTTCATAAATCTACAATTCATCAGAGCATTGAGTATTGCTGTCATATCTTGTTTGATACTTTGACTATATAGAGATTCTCGGCTATATCCAAAGAATGGTCTGTAATTTTATAGGTCCTGGTCTGGCATCTCGACTTAAGTCCCTTTCCCACTGAAGTAGCATGGCTTCTCTCTGTTTTTTCTATAAATATTTAGGTTGGGAGTTTTTCTAATGAGCTCTCCTCTTTTGTAAAGCTACCACATTAATTTAAGCGTGCGACGAGATTGCCAATTAGGTTTCATCGTTTGAAAATTTATATAACTGTAAGTTCCAGTTTAATAATTTCAATTTCTTTAATTTATCACTTCTGGAAAGCCTTTCAGATATCTTGCTTCCCTGCCAACTACAATCTCGAAAATTTAAATGCCACATCTGTCGTCCCGAAGCTTGTATTTTTATTATATTTTCGCCATTATGAAGTGTTTTAAATATATTTTACTCCCAGTAATCCCAGGTGAAGTAATGACATTAACGCTTTGCTTGGGAGGGGGTGGGGGTTTTGAAATGATTTAAAAAAAAATTAAATTAATAACTCTTTCAGGTTACATCTAGATTTAATTTTCCGAGAAGTGTACAGTTCGCTATTTTTTATGCGTTCATCGTAAAATGGACAATCATTTTTCTCTTATGTGTGGCGTCACTTCAGATCGCTGACGATCATGCGTCTCCACAATTTCCTCTCTTTTTCAGCTCTTAAATAATTTTGTCTGTTCATTATCTCTTCTAAACTTTGTTCTCCCATTCATTTACTTAAGTTTACTAGGGTAGATTATAAGTTGTTCTCTCTTTTCCTCTTTCCTACAACCTCTCCTGTGAGTATCAAATTTTCCAAGCATTCTTTCCTTAGAAATTGCCCTAGAAATTTCAACTGTAGCTTCCTGAGGTTAAGTATAAGTATCCTTTTTGTTTCTATTTTCTCTAAAACATTATTGTTACTCACATTTTCAGTTAATAGTATTCTCATCATCCTTCTGTAGAAACACATCTTCAAGTTTCTTCTTCATCTGCGAAGGGATTATCTATCATTCACTGCCATATAGTAGAACTGATATCACATAAGAGTTCAGTACTTTTTTCTTTGTTTCTGTCGAAATTTGTCTATATCTTAATACATTAGAATCCCTGACAACTGGACTAAGAAGGTTTTCCGAATATGAGGAATTGGTTACAAAGTCCGGATATTAGGGACGATGTTTACATTAATATATAAGAACTAAAATCAGGTTTAACATTTATTTTCAATTTTTTATAGTAAAGAAAATATGCCAATAGGTTGTGAAATATAACGGAATTGATTTTAAAGAAAAAGAAATAAATTACGTAATGTTAATGAAAATTCATTAAATTAAGTATGCCACAAATAATGTGACGAGGATTGTTCCATAATGATTTTTTCTCTTCTAATGCCATTCGCAACTTTTCCGCGTTTAGTTTTGCTTTTGTTCTTGAAAATTTTTAAACGAAAGAGACTTTTTAACACTGCGTGAGTTATTGCAATCGTCATAGCTGAATGCTGGTTTTCTTTCCATAAAACTAACAACCTTTTCAATAGCTTTTTCAATTTCAGTCCAGGTTTCATCACAATCATGCACCTTGTCGCTATCTTCTTGCAGATGTGTCTCGTTGTCATCTTTTCCTCTTATTCCCATCATCTTTTTGCACCAATACAAGCCATTAGGGTAAAATAAGCATAAGCAATTATCCAAAGTAACTTTCCTGAAAAACAGAAATTTCAAATAAGTTACTTATCACTCAAATATTTCAAATATACACATCAAAATCATGTCCGGATATGCGAGATTCCGGATATGAGGCACTCCGGTTATGAGGCACTCCGGATATGAAGCACTCCGGATATGAGGGATTCTACTGTACTTTGTTTAGATTTTAGAAGGCATCATTTGCTACCCCAATGCCCCTTCAGATTTCAGTGTTGCAGTTTCCGTCCTCTGTTAAAACACTTTCCAGATATTTAAATTGATATACATCTCTAATTTTTAATTGGCATACTTGTCTTTTCCCTAAAATCCATGCATTCAGTCTTACAACTAGTGTTTAGTCCTTTCTTCTCGCTTTCGCTCACTACCTTCTTTAGTATTTTGTTTCAAAATCAAAATTTGAACCCTTGTCGTAAAACAATGTTCTAGCAAACAAATCCTTAGTTTCAATGTATGCTGTGCGTGACTGTGTTTTTCAACTGGATGATTATGCTCCCTATTCGGATTTGATTATCATCTGTTCCCCAACATGAAAAAAAAATTGGCTGGCAACCAGTATCGCAGTGATGATGACGTCATATCTGCTGTTGCTAATAATTTTGTCCAAGGGAATGAAGTCTTCTTTAAACAGTCAGATTTTCATGAACCTGGGTGGGGGAAACAATGCATTTATTAATAAGAAGAGTTGAAAATAATGCATGCAAGATTTCATGGCTCTAGTACCAATTCTTCATAATCAGACGAGGAAACATTTCAGCAGACCCTCGTATATATGAATAGAGAGATTCGTATATTCTAAAGAACTAGACTGTAATTCGAACTCTGCTCACCGAGAGAGAGAGAGAAAGAAAGAGAGAGAGAGAGAGAGAGAGAGAGAGAGAGAGAGTGGTTTTATATATATATATATATATATATATATATATATATATATATATATATATAGGCAGCATATTATCATTCAAGCATGTTTGGTTAAATAATTTAGTCGTATTATATATATTTATTTTAGTTTTAATCCTTTCAAGTTCACAAATTACCCACCAATAAATTAATCCGTGGACCTGAAAGGATTAAAATAAAACAGACATGATACATCTAAATTATTTCACTAAGCATGCTTCAGTATATATATATATATATATATATATATATATATATATATATATATATATATATATATATGTATAGTTTGGCAGTATGTTTTAATTGGGACATGTTTTGTTGAATAATTTAGACATGTTCTGTCTACTTATTTTCAGTTGGATCCTTTCATATTCACTGATAAGCTTTTGGCGTGAAAAATCCCCGTGTTGATGCATATTTTTTTTTATTCCGAGTACTTTTGACATAGCACAATGTCATCATCAGGATATATATATATATATATATATATATATATATATATATATGTATGTGTGTGTGTGTGTGTGTGTGTGTGTGTATATATATATATATATATATATATATATATATATATATATATATATATATATATATAAAGTGAAGATTGAAGTCAGCACTTAGAGGCGACAGTCTGTTTCATGCCAGACGCATTCGTCAGGCCAGTTGATTGGGTCTAGCATGAAACAGACTGGCGCCTCTAAGTGTTGACTTCAATCTTCACTTTTATATTTACACACGCTCTATTTCTAATATTGAGCACTTTATCTCAGAAGTATATCATACCTTAAGCGTATATTTCTTAATATATATATATATATATATATATAAACATAAAAATGTCTTAAAATAATTGTAGGACTTTGTCCATTTCATAATGTTTAACGTCATTTGTTTACATTTGGATACGCATCGAGCAGATATGAATGTACATGAGAAAATCATGGAAAATTGGAGTTTAAAAACAGTAAAATCGACCTTGCTAACCGAACGGTCCTCTGTGGCGAAATCGGTAAAAGCACGTCAGGTTATATGACATTTCCGTATAAGATACAGGTTCAATTCCAGACGGCGGACGCATATTTTCTATGACAATTTCTCGGACATTCAGGCCGGTAAATATTGTTAATACTGTTTATTATAAACACAGCATTTACTTAAATATTTGTATCTATAAAAAAAAGAATCTGTGTGTGTGTTCTTTAAGGCAAATATTATTAAAAACAACAGAAATTTTGTGTCGATTATATTTAAGAATCGACTATTTCCAAATTAGGAATAATCTTTCTAAGGCGAGGCGGAAATTCGGTCAGTTTATTTCGGAAGAAAAGTACGAGAAATATGGTCCGTCTACGTCATCATCAGGGTACGTTAAGACAATTCGTGAATTTTCTCGTAGAACTAGTGATAGTTGTGACATTTCAAATAGTATAGTGACTTTTTCGAAGTGTGACGTCTTTTCTTATACATCTGAGTATGTGGGGGTCTTAATTTAGAAATGTTTTCATTTATTGATCGTTGTTTTTGTTGTATGAGTATTACTGAAAATAAAAGTTTTTACAATTTGATTTTGTTAATATTTTGGTATCGTTTGTGAATAGCTATCTGGTGTTACTATGATTTACACTGCTAATTAATGTATTGCCTGATGTTACTTTAGTCCGATAGGTGGAAAGTTAGTCTCCGTGAGAGTGTGATTGTGGTATATCCTATGGAAGACATTTTCATTTTTTTTATTTACAGAGAAACAATCTCCAAGTGGTCATATATATATATTCATACACAACATTGATCTTATATAGAGTTGAAAATTTAGGATATATTATTTTTAATAACTAAGTTGCAAGTTTTGAATTATTTGTAGTAAATAATGAATCTGATTTATTTATTTTTATCGATTGGCTTATATATATATATATATATATATATTGTTGTTTCGTCTTTTTTGTAATTGTGGTGCATTTGGTTTTGGTAATATATATTAATAGCGCTATTTTCGATATTATTGTTTTTAATAATATTTGCCTTCAAGAACATTTTCTGCCAAAGAAACATAAAATATATCAATGTGTGCATGTATATCTCTAGAGTAAAAGAAATGGTCGGGGAATTAAATGACCAAAACTGTTTCCAATAATGGAAATGAAACTTTATAGTATACAGATATTTGATATGCTCTGTGAGACACAGAAAAGTTTGGGTAATTTGATAGCTGATTGATATATATATATATATATATATATATATATATATATATATATATATATATATATATATTATTGTTACTTGAATGGTCATCGATGCGCTTTCTTCCGTATTCCGGATATCGGAACACCGGTTTCGTTTTGATATTACATAATGTACAACTGTATATAACCCTTTCAACAATTTTTATTGGAAATCAAATATAATTGAATAAGTTCTACAATGAAACATGTTCAATCGAAATTGTTGCGTCACGGTTAGAAAAACATGTGCGTTTTGCTGTCTGCATAGACTTAAGAAAAGGCAACACAATGACTGGCTTTTCTTTCTTTTTCGTTCTTTCCATTTTTTTTTCATCTTTTCTCTTCTTCCTTTAGACATTCTCTAGTCTCTTTCTCTCTCTTTTTCTCTTCTTTTCTTTTCTCCTCTCTTTTACAGGTTTTCTTCTTTTTCTATTTTTTCTTGCGGTTTGATCATTTTTCATTTTTTTAATTTTTTATTTAAGATTCCCTCCCTAATTTCAGTATCTATCTATCTATCTATCTATCTATCTATCTATCTATCTATCTATCTATCTATCTTTTACAGGTTTTCTTCTTTTTCTCTTTTTCCTTGGGTTTTGATCATTTTTCATTTTTTTAATTTTTTATTTAAGATTCCCTCCCTAATTTCAGTATCTATCTATCTATCTATCTATCTATCTATCTATCTATCTATCTATCTATCTATCTATCTATCTTCTCTTTCTCCTTTAGACATTCTTTAGTCTCTCTCTCTCTCTCTTTCTCTTTTCTTTTCTCCTCTCTTTTACAGGTTTTCTTCTTTTTCTCTTTTTTCTTGCGTTTTCATCATTTTTCATTTTTTTTATTTAAGATTTCATTCCTAATTTCAGTATCTATCTATCTATCTATCTATCTATCTATCTATCTCAGTCTGTTCATATCTATCTATCTTTTTTATTTAAGATTCCCTTCTTAATTTCAGTATCTATCTATCTATCTATCTATCTATCTATCTATCTTCTCTTTATTTTAATCCTCAGTTTTTCTTTTCTCCATGTTATTTTTCCGTTTTCAGCTTTTAATATTTCCTCCTTTTATTTCTTCCTTTTCAGCTTACACACTCGCGCGCGCACACACACGCACACGCACACACGCGCGCGCACACACACACACACACACACACACGCATATATTGTTTTGTTAACTTTCCCTCCTTTTCTTTCTTAGTTTCAATTTTTCATTTTTCTCTCCTCCTTTTTTTTCTTCTTGTTCTCATTTTTCCATTATTTTATATCGTTTTTTATTTTTATTTTCAGTCTTCCTTTTTTTACTTCTTTCTTTCTTCTTTGCTTTTTTCCTTTTTCTCTTTTTTTTTCATTCTTTTATTTTCATGGTTTCTTTTTTCTTTCTGTCTTTCTTTATTTTTCACTTTCCATTTTATTTCTCAAACTTTTTTTTCCGATTTTTATTTCTCATTTATTCTTCTGCCCGAAGTCACAAGTCTTCGTGACCGAGGTGTTTAACGTACTAGACTTATTCAATTTCTGACCACACACGATTATGTTCTCTCTGCATCGTTGAAGTGTAAGCCATAGAATTCATTCTGAGGGAGTTGAAGAAACACAAAATGTCCCTGAGTTGGTAGGTGGTGGCAAGCACCCTAACTGACGGGTATACCTGGACAAGAACAACAAAGCTATTATGAATCTATAGAGAGAATGCAATTCTATATATTTAGTCTCATGGATGATTGTTCTCACACAAGAAGCACACATATCAGTTGAAAACATAAGCACTTGTATAAAACGCATGTTAAATTATTAAAACATAGATGACAAAGACGAAAGAGTTTCCATCATTGAAACAATTGACGTTTCATCATTGAACAATGAAGCCTCTCACCGGAAAAGTCGGTCATCTCGAGTCCGCTCTCAATCAGATGTTTACTGATAATAGCTTTATGCTGCCATTGAGCTATGATGTGTGGGGTGGAGGGATGAAGCGTAACTCTACGGCATGCTTCCTTAATCGATTTTCCTATAACAGTGAAGTGAATGCTGGGTAATTTGCTCATATGTCACCTTGAAATTTCAACTGGCATTTTCTGATTCGAATTAAAAGTGCCCTTTCTGTTTACATATGCTTAACCCTTTGAACCGTGACCCTCCCTGATGAATACGGTATAAAGGGTTGAAGCATCAAAGGGTTAAAACTTTCTAGTTGCTCTCATGCTCCGACCTGATATGGCTTGAATCGATAAATACCTGATGAAGACCGGAGAGTACAACGGCCGAAAAGCTGAAACAACAATAATAGAAATTAACATAATACCTATTTTGTCTTGGTGAATTAAGTTGGGGAAAGTTCCGGTCAGTATCAAAGATTTGATTATAATTTGCTTGGACTGAAACAGTCGGTTTGGTTTGGTTTGGTTTGGTTTAGTTTGGTTTGGTTTAGTTTGGTTTGGTTTGTTTTACGGCATATCAACCACAATGGATTGATTCCGACAACATTTTTTATTTTCCAAAAAATGCATTGCTGATAATATTTTTCTTCAAAAATGTATTTCTGGTAATAATTTATTGCTGGTAATATTTTTCCATAGATGTACTGCTGGTAATATTTTTTCCAAAAATGTAATTTTTTTTAAAGGCAATTCATCAGAAGCAAGGCGGGAGTGCCACTAGAATGCAAGGGGTTACAGAGGATTGAGAACAAGAGCAAAAAGGCGCGTTTAATATTCATGAAGTCCGGGAACCATCGGCAGTAGTCCGTCGGAACAGTTGCCGTGAAAATATTTGTAGAAAAGACAGAGGGAGGCCACAGTACGTCTGTAAGATAGCGATTGTAGACTAGATGCCAGATCAGGACCTATCATCTTGCATATTCATCTCTGGATTTTGCCAAGGACCTCGAGACGTACAGCAGGAACCCCAGACCACATATGACAGCAATATTGCTGGTAGTATTTTTTTTTTCTTTCAAAAATGTATTGCTGGTAATAATTTTTCTTCAAAATTTTATTTCCGGTATTAAAACCTATTTTTACACTTTCATAGTATTTTGACCCCAGTTTAGTGGACCTGGGAACATTAGCAATTAAGAGGTTCCTTTCTATCGTATGTAGTTTATCGCCTTACCCAGGACGGGGATGTAGTTTATCGTCATACTCAGGACGGACAATGTGAGGGATGGTGAGGTGAATCGTAACTCTACGGCATGCTTCCTTAATCTATTTCACTCTAAGAGTGAAGTGAATGCTGGGTAATTTGCTCATAGATGAAAAACACCTGAAGTGATAGAGATGTGGTTCTAGCGACAGATGTTAAGAGTACCAC